TTTAAATGATCAAAGTAACATTGATATTTACTTTTCCACAGGAAATAACTAAATAAAATATAAATAAATGAAATCTTGAATTATAATTGTCAGCAAAATTCTTTTATTAACTCTATGTTAGAACACCCGGTATAATCTCACCCGTGTTTCCGTTGTAACCAGTTTCTGCGTCGTCGAGCCAATCTTGCCAAGGGTGCGTAGCTCCTATAGCGCTCCCCCCTGTTACGCCCCACCCTCCCGTTGGCCCCCGAGGGGATCGAAATTAAAATGACAATGAGGGCAGATCCGAAGGGTGGCTAAAAATGCGTACCCTTGCCATCGTCCAATCAGCAACGAATCCCACGACGCCATCGCGAACCTTTCCCCCTTCTGTCTCCTTTTTTTTCTTCCTGCGGCCCTTCGCGTCCGGAGAAACGCCACGAAATGAAAACGTTTAAAGCGCGATGATCCTTCAGCGAAATCTCCAACCCCTTTCGTCTCCGTTGCTTGCAGTCTCCGTTGGAAAAGTTTTCCAGTAATCGGCCGAAACCGAGAAGTGATTTCCACTCGGTTCAACAGTGGGCGATTGTTATCGTTGAAAATAATAAAAATAATATTCTGCCGATGTGTGAAATGAAACGCTTCCATAAAACCGATTAACGTTTATTATTTAATCCTCGCCCGTGGTCTATGTATTGCACGGAATGGATTCCAATAATTACCATTACTTGTTTTCGTAATATGCTAAACTAAATTTACTTACTCGTCATTTTAAGGAATATTTTTGTTATTTCTAGCGGAATGCTTAACGTTTGAGTTAATTTTATACGATGGAAATATCTTTTTAATTTTATTTTACTAATTTTTAACTATATGTATGCGACGAAATTGTATGTGAAATTTTAAAATCGCTAAAAAAATGTGCGCGAGGAAAGATGCGGCGGAAAAATGTATAATCGTGCTCGAAAATGTACGCAAATATTTTTCAATCGTACAATGAAAGCACAGAGAAGGCGTAACGATGCGCGTTCGGCGTATAACCATTGGTTTCTCACCTAGCGTGTTTGGACATTTCCATGAATATAAAAACGCGATTCGTATTTGCATGAAATACTGATTTCGAAACTGCATTTTTTCCCCAGCTTTCTGCCTTCTCGATTATTTTAACAGAGTGACATTGCGACTGTAAAATTTCTCAATTGCGCATTTGTCGATCGTTTGGTCGTTTCATTCGGTTTTTAAGACACATACACACACGTCGTCTCAGGATTATCTTTTACATTTCTGAAATTATACTTCTTGGTTTGTCAAATTAATCGATGCCTGCAAATAATTAAATTGACAATTCCAGATCTATTTAATTATATGTCTACTAAATTTTATGTATACACATGTATATATAATATTTAATTTGTATATAATATTTATTGTGATGTTCGATGATTTCGGATTGTCGCACTACCGCCAGTTTCTCTTTCATTCTCCCTCTTTCCGCCATTACGCCGGTCACAGGACCGCGGCACGACGAAAGATGCAGGCGTAAGGAAAAAAAAAAAAGCGAGTTGACGGAAGAGAGGAGGTGGTTACGGACGATGCAGGACCAAGAACGAAAACGATACCCCGTCGGCACGTGCACGCGGTTAAAAAGGTTCACGAGGTTTCGGCCGCGTCGGCCGCGGCTCGGCCCGGTAAAAGCGGAACCGGCTGTCACGATACGGATCTGACCAATCATAAAAGCCGCCGCATACACGCGCATAACGGCCACTCATTCATCCATCCAGGGCTGCGCAGCGGAACAAAGGCGGAAATTAGTCAGGTTCGTTATGCTTATTAATTGACTGACATTTCCGTCATATTATTGTACATGGCGAATCGGAAACTGCTCCCTCTCTCTCTCTCTCTCCTCTTCCTCCCTCTCGTGAGGCCTTCGAGAAACGAGGTCCCGCTTCTGTATACGCGCGGGGCTATTGCTACAGGACGTAGGTTTCATTGAATGGACAAAGTCAACAATCTGAAGAAACGTGCCGACGCATTCGTGGGTAGCTTCCGCAGTCAGATTCAGAACTGAGATTATAAAATTACCGTGCAGTGAGAACGAATATGTGACAAGGTGCGCCAATGTGCAATGAATATATATATTGAAAGGCTGCACAATTCCATGAAAATCGTCTCTCTTTTTCCGTGAAATCATTAGTCGTATTTCTAGACTTAAAGGTAATACGATTCCAACATAAAAACGAAAATGAAGAATAATGGCCTTATCTTTCGACAAGAAGTAAGTCATCACCATAGCAAATCAACGGAAAAACAGTTTGAATGGGCCAATTTCTCTATTTCTACACCGTGGAAAATTTATTCATAAATAATGATATAGGATATTCAAAGAAATCGGCATAGCGCTCGGAATTAATGAGAAAGGAATTTCGTGTTTTTCAGGGAGAAAGCTTTGATTTCGAGAAAATTTCGAAGATAAGCTTCAGGCGATATATAAGCTAGGTGATTCATCACGCGATATTCCGCGATAATTATATGTGTAAGCAGATATTAATTATTGATTAATGTAGCGCGTCTATTAGCGGTAGCACGGCTGGAGGAAAGCGATACGAGCGGAATAGATAAAAAGAAAATGAAGCGCAAACGAAACGCAAGATGCGACTCGAGTAAATCGCAGAAAAATTGCACGTAAATGAGAAGTTTTTCATATAACGTATGTTAACGTATATAAAAGGCACAAAAAGATATGACGTTACGGTATCTATGCTCTCGGCGCGCTCAAAGAGAAAAGCATTTCGTGTACGAAAATCCCTTTTTCGTACGCGTGGTGAACCGTTATCATGTTACGTCTAAATATCCTTTATTCATATCGTTAACCAACGTGCAAAAAATATCTGAAATACAAAATTCTTTTTTTTATATTATTTTTAATGAGAAATTATTTGAATGTCTTGAAATGGGAGATGACTGCAAATTATTCTTTTTCTCGTCGCGCGATATGTACACACAAATATCCTGTAACTTTCGTGCTACACAGCCGCGCTGTCGTTTTTAAAAACTACCATCTTTCGACACACGATATCTCGTTATCTGGTCCCCGTGAATATGGGAGAAGAATCGAAAAATGCTGGTATGATACATGAGGGGGATAAAGCAATTACGTGGATTCACTAATAACGATGTCCGTAGTATGCTGTTCTCCCTCTTCTCTGGGTCCGTCCTCGTTAAATATAAACCGGTAGAAACAATGATTTCCCGTTATGTTCTAACAACTATAAAACTGCATCTCTCACGTTATTAGCGCATTTGAAATTTTTTCCTATCACCTTCCTTCTCCCGCTCGAAGGGTTTAAATTCACGTGCGCAATTACATTGTGCAATTACATCTTATCTAGGAAAAAAAAAGAAGCTTCTATTTTTACACGCGCAATAACTCGTACGTTTCAAACGTCCGAAAGCCCTCTGTAATCGCGCGTATTCATTTTATGCACCCCTCGCGAGAAATTGATGGAAAATGGCGACCGGTCGATCCTGAAAAGGGTGAAAAGGGCTCGTGTAATGGAGCTCAGGGATTTCTTAATGACGCTGCGCCGTCGCCGATTGCCGGCTCTGCTATGTTTATCCTCCGCCGAGGGACGACACACGTGATAAAGGAAGGGGGCGTATCGGTACCGGAGAGACGTGCAGCTGTGCCCCATATCATGCACCTATATCCTTGCGGAGGGTGGTAAAGCTATATCGGTGAGGGAATAATGCCACGGGGGTGCCGGAACGGTTTCATTACACGGCTTCCCGAGGGATAATATTCCGGGATATCTCTCCGCGGTCGACCCCGACGGGGGTGAAATTCCGTGCCATCAACCCACCTCGCATGAGAGATGAACCCTCTGTGCGGCGACCCCTTGCTGTAGGAGTATCAGCCTGAGCAACCCCTTTGGAAGGTAGAGCGCGTCCGGGGGCGAGCAAGGGAGAGGAAATTGCAGCGACCGACCACACTTTGGGGCAAGGGATCGCCCATGCGGCGACAGAAAATGGCCGATGGCCTCGTGGCGATTGCAAATATGAAGGCGCTATTTTAATAACGGTGCAGCGAGAACGGGTTACACCATTTCTGGCATGTCTATTCTCTCGCGAAGTTATACGGAAACAGCGATACGCGGCGAATTCAGTAACACAACGAACGCTGTTATCCGTTTCCAGCTTTATTCTCTTTTGTTCCCAGATATGAGATTTTTAAAGGATATATAGGGAATGTGCTCAGTAGTTTTATGTTTAAATGTATCATAGAATTATCTTATTAAATAAAATTGACGGAAGAAGTCTCGCGAAGGTGATCCGCATATTGATCTTACGGAACATATATATATATTTTTTTTACGTCGGCACCCTTTGAAGCTGCCATACACATATCGCCTGCCTCGATGCCATTATATTGCGATCACGCTCGCGCGCATTGCGATTAGTATTTAATGCACACAATGTATAGGAAAGGGTCCTTTTTCCCGTATCAGATGCGGGGCGGGCCTCAGACCAGTTATTAGGCCGCTGACAGGCCCGTATAATCCGACTGCCTCTCGTAATGTACAGTACGAAAAATATAATGCCTATTAGCGAGGATCTTTTCAGCGCGACCCGTGTTGCCCTCGGGATTTTTTCTTCGCCTTTATTTCTTTTTTTTTCCTCGCATCGGCCGCGCGTTGGTTTGCGCGTAGTAATTTTCATTTCTCCCTATCCGCGCGTTTTGCGCCTAAATCTCGGTCGGCAGTCTAACTAACGGTAAAATAGGTTAAAAAACAATCTCTTTCTTTTATATGTCACAAAATATCTAAATAAATCGTCTATTAAAGTAAGACAAAAAAGATATTGATTAAAATTGACAATTCATTATGTTAATTATAATTTATTATATTTATGCGTTTAGTCTGGTGAGTTTTGATCATACTGAATAATTTAAAATTTTATTCATGAAAGAAGCACATTTTTTTGTTCCGAGTTTTTTGATAATATTTAATATTTTTCTGTTTCAGAGAAAATAAGCCGAGAAGAAATGGATGTAGGTGAGTCCAACAGAAAAAGATGAGTTTTCTTCTATTATTCCTCGTCAATACAATCCACCGATCGATCAAAAATGTCGCCCGCTCGAAATTCACCTGTTTTACCTGTTACATTTACAACACGGTCGGACACGTTGACGCGTCTGTTAATGAAGTCGCAGTGCCGGTCGAAAGAGAGATTTCCGTTAGTTTTACGTGGTTTAATGGATACATTGTATCCCTCGGACACGAAACGAAACGTTGCGCGAGCGTTCCAGGTGTCTGCTCCTATTGTAGTTGGCGATACTTGAAAAGCACAAAGCGAATATGATGTAACATAATTCGAACAGTTCAAGCGCGAAGACCCGCCGCAGTTATTATATTTAATACAGCATCCCGATCTGCTACGCATCTGCCCGCGGCGCGCTTCTTTATCACGAACGAGAGATGGATACTCTCAAGAATTTAACGTGCAACGGCGTGACGAATGTATTTGTGCAAATCAATATACATTTTGCAGCCGAAAGATTCTGCGCTTTCGAAGACGCTGTTATTAATATCAATATTTCGCGAAATTCTAAACTAACTTTTTAACCCGAACTTTTATCAATAAGGATTAATTGTGCTTCGCAGAAGAGAAGTATATCTTTTCTTAATTATATGTTTATTCAACACGTCAAGATTTCGATCAAAGTTTCTCTCTTTCTGACGGCATGAACGAATAACGTAAAAACGAAGAAAAGATACTCGATTACTCAGCTAGTAACAGACAGTTAACGTAATTTTAGTAGCACAATAGATTGTAAAACTAATTTAAATGATGCGTCGCAATGCAGACTATAGTTTTCGGTTCGTTAGCGAACGCGAGACCGCATGCGGATTTGGCAATGAAAATTACTGCGCATTCTGGCATAATCAAATCATATATTATTTGTAAATTACGGTTAATGATTATCATTATCTTCGATTTGAATGTAACTAATGTTACATTTGCAACACTAATACGCGCCGTCCATTATTCATGAGCTCTCGAAATAATATCGGCGTACCCGCACATCTCAATGTGATGGAGTGCGTCGAACTGATGTATAATGTAATGACGGAATCATTTACTTTTTGATTAGTGCGATTCTGCGCATGAATCACACGTAGACACGCGCTAGAAGTACTTTTACTAGTTACATCTTGACGTATATGCTTTTCGAAAGGAGAAAGAAAAAATATGGGGAACGGTTAGCTCTCTGTCGCGTCGCGTAGAAAGTTGGAGAGAAAATTTAATCTAGAGGAGCGACGATTTTATGCGGAAAGCGTAAGGTATTTTTCAGCGTTGTACAACATCCGCGACGAGTGTCTCGATGTGTTGCTAGGCTTAATAGCTGGCGTTGAAGCGCGCGATGGAATATATTTTTTCGCTCGATTCTCGTCCATTACGCAACCTTCGAAAAACCATTGACGCGACCTATCGGCGGTAACATTACCGACCATACGCCCACCACCTCCGACATCATCCTCGTCGTTGTCGTTCGCGACCTCGGTATTCCGCCCCGCGCGGGGGTACGCGGCAGGTCGGGGGTTGCGCGGCAGCGCGGCAGCGCGGTAGGGTGGGTAATGTCGGGAAATGCAGCTAACGAAGTTTACGAAGACACTTAACGGAATTACGCCCTCGCTGGCTCGCTCGCAATGGTCCCCGTCGTCGCCCTCCTCCTCCTCCTTCCCTCCTCCTCCCCCTGCTCTCTCTCTCCGTCATCGTCTACCCCCACGTGCGCACCGTCCATGCTATCTGCTCCAAGCGTCCCTTTACACTTTTCCGGCGGCAGGAAGGTCGCGTTAATTACCGACGGAGGCAAGAAGCCGGGGAAACGGTGGCAAGATATTTCGTCCTCGACGCGGAGCGTCGATGGTTACGAAAGTCGGCTATGGGGGCGGGCGATAAAGGACGACGAGGGGGTGCCGGCGATGCGCGGGGGGGAGGGAGCGGGGTGGGGGAGCGAGGGGTAGCCGGAAGTGGGAGCGGGTCGGGAAGGGGTCGGTTTGCGCTGAAGAAGGGTGTTATTGACATGGTGGGTGTCGCGTCGTCGGCCATCTTGGGCCGCCGCGGTCTCCCCGCCGCCGTCACCTCCACCTCCTCGTCCTCCTCCTCGTTTTCCTCTTCCTCCCACCGCCGCCGCCACCCTCTTCGTCGCATTCGCTCTGCTCCCCGTCGCGTCCGAAGGACATCCTTGTGTTCCCTTGTACCGAGTGACATTCGGGCTGCGTGCCCAGCCTAACCTGCCCGGCGGACGCCCTGGGCCACCCTTTTCGACCAACCCCGGCAACGAGCTGCGAGGGTCCCGGGGGCTGCTTGTCGCCATGGCGACCGAACCCTCGCCCAACCCCCTCAACCAAACGCCGATTCCCTATCCCTCGGCACTTCGCTACCCTCTTCCGCCACCCCTTCCTCGTCGCGCGCGTCGTTCGCGCTGCCGTCCTCGTCACCAAAGAGAGTCTTTCGATATCCTCGTGCGCCTCACTTTGACGGTTCTCTTCTTTTTCTCCTTCTGCTCCTTTTGTCTCCTTGTTCCGCTCTTCCTCCACCATTTCTTCATCCTCTTTGTTAGCTAAATACCAATCTTCATTTTTTAGAATTTGTTTCCTCTATGTTTTCTTCCTTAAATCATAGTTCATTCTTGTCGATAACTTTTTCTTCTTGAGTATCTTCGAAGTTTTTTTTTTCATTGTCTTTTTAGTGCTTAAACTAAATAACTATACTTTTCAATGAATTTCGCGTCCTTGCTGTTTGGTCTTCTTTTTCTTTTCTCATTACTTCTGCAACTTTCATTACTTTCGATATTTTTCATAATTTTATATTTCAACACAATACGATGTCAAAATAATCTTTTACGATCGCTTTTTATTTTTGATCATTACATTGTTCTAGTAAATTTAATATGTTTATATTTAAACGAAGAAAGTTATAATCGTCTATGTTTGTTTTTGCTACTTGTAAAATTGAGTTTTTATGTTTCGCATAATAAATAAAATACATCTGTAATATAATACGCATTTTTTTTTCGAGGTAGTTGCTATTTTAAAAGACTCATATTTTTTTGTTTAATTATAAAATTTTTTACAAGTTTATAGATTTCAAAATCTTACAATTAGCTCTGCGTCATTCTCTATGTCTGTCACAATTCTTCATGCAACATCAGGCAAAAATCCGGCTCCAATATTGATAGTCGATATAATTAATAGTTAAAACACTTCCCCATATTGATTAAAAAAAGAATGTCGACGTTTTGGTCAAAATGCGAGTTGCGGTTTCGGCGAATTTAATGACCCGCGCCGTAAAAAATGCCTGGCGGTATTTGGAATTCCGGTTAGCTGGTGGCGACGTTAATTCCGCTAATTATATCGAAGAGCCCGCGATCTCGGTGAAACTCCACATGATCTTCCTTTTGTCAAAGGAGGGAGGTCCCTTTATCAAACATTCTCGAAGGCACAAAGTTGCCCATCCTCCGACCCCGCGGAATTGGCGGATATTAGGAAGGACTTCGTCGCGGCTTTTGTCTCGTTTGGCCACAAAGTTTCACGAAGCACCACAATCCCGACCAATTAGCAACGATTTCCTAAAATCAAGCCGTAACCACGAGCTAATTGGCACTTGACATTCATAACTCACTCCCTCGTCTGTCGCGAGAAACTCTTAAACCACAATTATCAATGATAAATGCTCCAATTAATTGTATGCTTCAGTTAAAAGAGCCCTCAGCCTTCGGGAAGATTTTATATTCTGATATTTTGTGTACCGCATTTCATTTTTTTTTTTTTTTAATTATTTTAGGAATGGGAAACACGTTTAATTGTGTCTATGGCTGTCGAATATGCCATTCAAAAAATTTGTACTCGTATATCAAGGTATGAGTATATTTATACCGGTATAATTATACCGGAACTTTTATTTATATCTCTCTTGGAAAATCAGTAAGAAGATTATTAATATGATAGTAGCGTAAAGAGAGTACATTCGGAACCATTGTCTACGGGATAGAATTTTTAACGTCCGATGCACTCGCGTAAAAACAAATACTCGATATATTGGAAGCAAGATATCGACGTTTCAATGGCGTTGAAGTAGCTTAAGCACTCTCGGGTTCTCGAGACGTGACGGAGCGTTGGAATAAACTGGGCGACCCGGTCGGACCGGGACCGTGGCAGCTGCATTGCGGCAAAACAGAAGACGCCTGTCATCGGGAACGACCGATCCGTATAGAAGACGCATCGGAATGCCGATTCTGTAAATGCGCAACGTGGCCTTCATTCATGCTGAGGCCCGGCGGTCACCGCGGCCAGCTGCAGTTTTAAAATACGGGAACGCGCGAATGCGATCGTGAAGTAATTGTCGTAAAGTGACAATGATTCGGTTAATTAATGACGGTGGAAGCGTCGAAGTTCGCGTCCGCGTCGAGTTCGTGCGCGGCGATAGAACCGGAAGCGCGCGCCGAGTGAGTATAAAAAAAAAAGGACGAACCGCGGCCTTTATGTACGCGAATCAACTGTTTATTCAGCATATAGCGAAAACGAGAGAAAGAGGAGGAAAGAGATGGAACGAGAGTACGGCGGGAGCGATTGCGGGGTAGGAGAGGCTGCGCGGGGGAGGAGAGAATGCAACAGCACGCGCGAGTGATCGACGTGAAACGAGTTCATTCATGCTTGGATGTTGTAATCCTGAATGGACGTAGAATGGATCGAAACTGCGCGATTAGATTGGACTGTGGGCCGACTTGATATATATATATATTTTTTTTATTTGAAAGCTACACGTGGGTGATTTTTATGTGGAAGGTGACGTAAATCGTACTTCCGGTATGAGATACGTTTCTTTGTACATCTAGTTGAATGTAATTCACGCGGTTTCTCGGTCATTTAATGACGTCGAATGCGACTTTCGCGTTAAACATGTTCAATCCAAGATCAGACGGGTCACAATTAAAGCGTCGAATTTAATATCCTTCGGCGAATTAATTTTTGCCATCGAATCTACGCGAATCGTTCGGCGGATTCGCGTTAAAATCCAGGCTTCTATGGGCACAAGGTTAAAAGGGCGCCTCTCTATATATCTCTCAAGGGTGCGATAACTTTCAGCGCCGACTGTATCGCTGGATGATGTATCCCCCCGGGGGTTTTCTCCCCTTGGGTGTTGGGGTGTGTTTCGTTGCCTGGCAACGACACCCTCGAAGTCCGCGCTCTGATTGGCCCCGTCTCGCTTTTCCTGTCTTAGCCTCTCTTCTCACCCCGTCGCCAATCAGACCCCCTCGCCTCGACCTCGCTACCGTACCCACCCGTTCCCTCTGCTCTCTCGCCGATGGAAACCGCCGTTGTCGGGGCGAAGTGCACACACGGGCGCGCGCGCCCGCGTGCAGAGAGAAAAAAAAGGGGAAAACAAAAAAAAAAGAGAAACACGCTGCAACGCGTCTACACACTGAACAGAACGTGAGGAGGAATTAGAGGGTAGTTCGGCGCAATGGCGCAACGTCAGTACATTGTGCGTATATGTATGTATGTATGTATGTATGTACGTGGTTGGATGCACATGGACGAAGCGACGTAATATTATCTCGAACAAATAACAAGAATCTTTTGTTACTCTCGTATATCGTCGTATGCTGAAGAGAAAAAGTGCGAAGCTCGAACCTGACTCTTTACGAGCGTTTAATTCCCCCCATCCTCCTTCCCCTAATAATGCACAATCTTAACCGTATACGTTTCTTTTAATACCGGGGCAGAATGCCGGGGAACCTATCTCTAGATAACTTCGGCGAAACTCGAAACTAGTTTCGCGGGATGAGAGATACCGGAATCTTATTTGCCGTAGATTCATCCGTTCTAAATCCGATTACGAGTAAAACCGCCGTTTCGTCGGCTCTCGATGTCATTGAGAGTCATTTCTATTTTTACGGCTCCGTAAATTGTACGAAAGGATTAAGAGCGATTTCATTGGCTTCCTTTTCAATGCCTTCTTCGAGTAGCCGGCTTGTTGTGTCGAGGCTGCACAGCGCTACGAGAGGATTAAACCTTCCTATTGATCCCGTTCAATGGATTCGTGCCCTTTCACGTGCCAGCATTCGTAATGTTTTGACATCCTTTGCGCTCGTCTCTTCGCCTCCCGCTTGCTTCCTCGACGTTGGGGAATACATCTCTGTGCATTTAATTCAATATTCGATAATACAATTTATTTTTCTCGACGAAATATATGCGGAAAAAAAATTTTGTTTTAAATACCAGTTTTATTTTGTCGGACTTTTATAATTGTTATGTCTTATTTTACAGAAAGCTGCGACGACGATGATGCTGTGAACAATTTCTTTTTAAACCCGTCGCAGTACTTTGACGAAAAATTGCATGACAAAGTTTCGAGCAAAACCAAGTAAGTATACGTTATATATAGCATCTCGAACGCTTTATTTGTACAGATCGAGTAGTAAAATTGAATTATTTTCTATAGAATACCGAAAAAAGTGCCGCAAATATTTTACGGAATGCGAACTCACAGGCAAATCAAGCAGGTAATCACAGAATTTAAGAGGACCGCATACAGGCATAAAAGGTAAAACAACTCGCGAAATATTCGTCGTACTAAATAAATGAATAATGAATGAATTTCTTTAGGATGACTATATTGAGCAGCCGAAGTAATACGTGCATCCAGACATCCAATAGGAACAAGGACGAGTTGTGCAACGAGCTACTTGATCGGAAACCAAAGGTTTTTAAGGATGAATCGTGGAACGAGCGACCCGATCCGATACTAAAGGTTTTTATAAGAATTATATGCATCGTTGAGGTATTCACAAAAGTTAAAAGTTAAATAATTATATGATGACATTATTTCTGCACATAGGTTAAAAGATGTCAGTATTATGAGCACAATAAAAATAATCCGAGAGTATTTCGTGATATGAGCACGCCTTGGGACATTGAAGACTTGGTCTCACTAGGTAAAGGGATCAAGGCCTGCCCATACTTCGGTGCGAGATCTTTGATGGCCGACGCGGAAATCATCTTTTGTCCGTACAATTATATCCTGTGTCCAGATATACGCGAAAGTGTAAGCATAAATAATTAACAATGAAGTATCCACAGAAACCAGAAAATGATAATTCTGAATAATTGGTAGCAAAAGTGTTCTACGAATAGAATATTCAATCGTTCAAACCTTTTTATCTTATAAAATAACATGAGTGTCATTTGTGCTATCAACTCTTTTCACACTCTTTTCCGCATGCGGTACTGAATAAACAAGACTGTAATTAAAATATACAGATGCAAATCAATCTAAAAGGCAACATCGTGATTCTCGACGAGGCTCACAATGTCGAGGATATATGTCGGAAAGCTGCCAATGTGACTCTTAGAGATGACAAGATCAATACTGCCATTAAAGAGTGCTTTGATCTTAATCTTTGGTACATAAAAAAGCTTGGTAAAGCCATTTATGGTACTATACTCGAATATCTCACAGATATCGTGAAATTCCTTGGACATATTGAAGTCAATGAGAACGTGAGCATATATACTTATCAAATAATCAAAAATTAATTTTGTCATTATGATTTATTTAAACTTTCCATTTTGTATCTCTCAGATTGATTAACATTTTATGAAATGATTATAATCATTATTTTTACTTGTTATAGTAGAATATGTATGCTTTAGGGTTTAAATAACGACATGGTCAGTAAACATTGGATTGGTCACGAATTCCGGGTGCTGCTCGACGTGCATAATGTCGGATGTCCTAGATTTCCTAATTTTCGTAACGCCAGTATGGCAGCAATTGAGGATTTCAAGATAAATATGAAGCAAGAGGATCCCAAGAAGATGCTGCCTACTATTTCGCAAGAGACTAAGACAATTCTTGAACATTTTTGTTTCGCTATGGAAATGATTGCATCAGATACTTTTGTTGATGACTATAGGATGTACGTCGTAGAAACGTTTGAAACTAAGAAGGTCGCATATCTAAGCAATTCGATGTAATTACGATCTGCATAATTGTATCAAACATTATATGTAGTCATTTTTTTTTATCAGGCCGAAAATGTCCGAACGACAGTCAAGATACGAACCATGCAACTGTTGTGTATGAATCCCGCTATAGTTTTTGCGCCTTTGGCCCATGACGCCCGATCTGTGATACTAGCTTCGGGTACTCTGACGCCGACTACGTCGTTTCAAAGCGAACTCGGCACGAAATTCCCGTATATAGCGAATCCCAGTCACATTGTACCGAAGGAGCAAGTTTACATAAGAGGCCTGTCACAGGGGCCAAAAAAAATGCCTTTACATGCCATACACAGCAAGGTGACTACCTTTCTTTTTCAGGTAAGAAGTAATCAATTTTTAATAATTTTTATTTCAGATGATACGTCCACGTTACACGTATATGCGATATTAAGTACACAAATTTTTATTCTAACAGGACGAACTCGGTAATTTGGTTCTTCAAGTGTGTGACGCAGTGCCACATGGTGTACTATGTTTCTTTTCGTCTTACAACATAATGAACAAAATTCACGATAGATGGAAGAGTAACGGCATGTGGAAGGAGCTCTCCAACTTGAAGAAAATCTTTGTGGAGCCGAAAGATAATACCAAGTTGGTTGAATTCATGCAAAACTATCGCAGGGTAATTGAGGAATCGTCATTGAAATCGGAACAAGACTATCGAGTAGCATGCGGAGCTGTCTTGTTTGCAGTTTTCAGAGGAAAGGTGGCGGAAGGAATCGATTTCAAAGACAACGATGCTCGTTGCGTATTGGTAGTAAGTAACATTCTTAATAGATTGATTTTATTTATATTCTTATATGTTCGCACGCTTGCACATGTATATTTGTAATACATGTATGTAGTTACACATACAATATGTATTTATATTCTTACGTTTATTAGGTTGGTATACCGTATCTTCTTAAATCCAATGAAATAGACATGAAGATGAAGTATAATGACTTAAATAAATCAAAAGGTTTGCTATCTGGTAGTGAATGGTATACCGTAAACGCGTTTAGGGCGTTAAATCAGGCAATAGGTCGTTGTGTCAGGCATAAAGATGATTGGGGTGCTGTACTACTAGTAGATAAAAGGTACGTATAGGTATAACATATTCGAGAATGTAATAAAATACTTAAACGGTAATTTCTATAGATTTAACGAGGAAAGGAACATCGGCTATCTTCCAAAATGGGTTAGAGAAAATGTAAGTCTCAGTTACCGAAGTAAATATTATAAATTATATTTGCAATCTATACTTATAATTTACTTGTGTTGCAGAAAAGAGATCATGATAAATGGGATTACGGAATTTACGGAAATTTGGAGATAGAGCTTCAAGATTTTGTAGTCTTGCAAATTGCACGTGAAAGAGGAGCAAAATTGGCAAACAATTAAGACTTCCTCTTAGAAGATATAATGAATTTTATGCTCTGATGAAGAACATTGTTTTTATTAAAAATGACTAACAATTATTCTAATGTTATGTATTATTTAAGCATTCTATTTACATAATTTTGTCCAATGTTACATTTTAGTTGTGTCCCTCTTTTCAATCATTCTCAGTTGCTTTTTCTTCATCCTCTTTATTTTCGCGGTATTCTTAATCTAAAAATAATGATGTAATGTAAGAGCTATAATATACAACAAATATATATAACATATATATATATGCTATATTTTATAAATGACATCACAGCATTTACTTACAACTTGCACAATTTCGCTCTTCTTTCTATTCTCCTCTGCTCTCTTTAAATTGTCTCTTCTTCGTTGCTTCTTAGCCTCTTTCTCTGCCTGCTTTTGTGCCTTGATTGCCCTTGACATCTCCTTAACGCGTTTCAAATCTTCTCTCAACTTTTGTTTCTTAGCGAATGACTGTCGAATTCCACGTGTTTTAATTATAGAAGAAAATCTACAAACAAGCATTTGCATGACTAACTCATACCTTTGTTTCTACTCATACAAATGTTAGAATACAATTAATTATTATTCGGCGAGAATTTAAAGAGTATATATATATATATACTCTTATATATGTGTATAATTTCTTATTATTTTAACTCAAATTATATTACTACACTATTATAATTATATTATAAATGATATAATAATACAATGCTAAAGCAGTAGCTTAAAACGAGCAAAAGATCCGTGGAAAACAAAATTTATAGAAACCAGAAATTTTTTAAGCAACGACTAAACTTCAAAACAAAGTTTCAAAGTGGAAGTTTGTCAAGGGGTTTACAATCTCTCTCCCAAAATTGCAACTGTAAAACCAAGAGGAAGCCAAGATCTACAGACAACTGCTTTTTTTCTAGCAGGTCGTGATTTGACTTGGATTATAATGTTATCGAAAAAGAATTATGTTGTGTACAATTGTATTACTGTCGAAACTAATTTACCTCGTTTTTTCTTCCTTCCATATCCTGCCGGATTTTGGCTTTCCTCGCGGGACGTGTTGCCTCTCGGGTTTCCCGACACTGGACGACGACTCTGCTGGTAGTGGTGCTGCTTTACTCAGCACCGGTGCCGCATTCAATATATCTTCCATACGTATTATTTTTTCGCTCGCCATCGTTCGGAAATGTTGACAAAACGTGCGCTTTCACCGTGCTCCGGCATGTAAATAATTCTCTCGCAGGTTTGAGGTTAGGCCGTCACGTGGCAGAAGTCGCGGACAAGCGGACGACGAGCGAAGCGCAATCGCCACGAACTGCATTACCAATGTCCGAAAATGTTAACTTGAATTAACGCCTGCAAAAGGTAATATTAATAGAAGTAAAAAACGAAATATATATATTATTTTTTAACTTTTTTTTATACTTTCTATTCCTTATTATTTAATAGCACATTTGATAGACGATCTACGTAACTTAATTTATTTGCAGTGGTTCCAAATCTGGCGAGCTGCGTTAGATTGTTGCGATCGAGGAATGTATTTTTTTTTGTGAATAAAATTCCTGGAGATTTAAAATTAATTTTTTTTTAATTGAAAATCAGCATCGCTTGTGCGATTATACCTTTGTAGTTTTAAATTTTTGTCTTTACAGGTATAATATAATTAAATTTCTCAAACTTTTGTATATACCGGCGAAGTGAAATTTGTTTCGCTCTATTCTTTACTGCCAAGTGGTATATGTACCTTTATACTGCATTCTGAAATTACTATACTAAGCTACAGGTGTATACATATAGAGGGCCACTGAATAACTTCATCTTCATTCATGCACGTGAATTTGTGTTGATAGTACTATTTTCTATGCGTGAAAAATACAGGAATTTTCGAAAAATCGACAATTGCAAAGTTGTATACGTAGTTATAAAATGGAATCTTTGAAAGAAATTTCTAAATTCCTCGATTTAAGCTCTGACACTGCTGACATCCGACTTGATTTGAAATTCTCTGTGCTGCACCACGTGCTCTGTACGTATTCTTGTGTATTATTACATATTTATTTATTGTGTATTATTACATATGTTGTGTTCTACTACGTTTGTTCACTTGGCAAAAAGAGCCTCAACACGTAACTTAAAATGCACGCAGGTTTGACAGAGACCGATGATGGCCTGGAACTTTTGCTGAAACTACCAAGAATGTTGACACAACTTATTATTTTTTTGCAAGACCCTTGCTGTGAAATTAGAAAATTTGCTGCAGATTTATTGGTAAATATTGTCGCAGATGAATCAGGGACCAATGCGATGCTGATTATTTCAGAGTCGAGTAACTCAGCAGAGAAGAACAAGTCTGGTAAGCAAAATGTTACTTAACGATGTGCTAGCAGATTCGACCAGGCTGATATCAATTTGCATTACTTCTGTTTACGTCAGTAAAACTTTACAGTAATCTATAATGACAAAAAAAAGAACTAAGAAGAATTTGATTACTTCATAAATAGAACATTTTGAATAGTTACAAAATAAGATTCTTCTAAGATTTGGTTTGCGCTAGCATTCTGCAAATGAAATTTTGTAACAGACACTTAACAACATTTATTTTCGCCAGATTCGGAATCTAGTCAGAATTTAATAAAAGTTTGTCTGAGGTAATATATTATTGTACTTATTGTTACTCTATTCTATCTGTTTCGGATATTTTATATGTTATTCCTACAGGGCCATAATGGATAAATCTAGTCTTCAGGCAGATCGATGTAGTATGATACTTTCTAATATGACTAGAAAGTTTTATCTGGTAGACAGAGTAATAACACTCATCGAAAAAAGTGGTTACGCCTGGAATGATGTAGTAGCTGCATTTACTGCAAAAGAGTACAACACTAAAGGCGAAAATTTGCATCATCTTGGAGATGTCTTTTGCAATTTAAGTCAATCGCCACATGTAAGAAGGTACCATTCAGTTGACTATTTTTTACTATTATTTTACTGAATTATATCTTGAAGATACATATGTTTTATTATAGGTATTTGATGGATCGACGTTTGTGCCTTATTCAACGGCTCTTCCCATTCACAGAGTATTCTGATAGTTGGATTAGACGACGTGGTGTTATTGGTACTTTGAAAAATTGTACTTTTGACACAGAAGATCACATATGGTTGTTAAGCCCCGAAGTGGACTTATTATCATATTTGTTGTTGCCACTTGCTGGTCCAGAAGAGTTTGACGATGAAGATGTCGATAAATTGCCAATTAATTTACAATATCTTCCTGAAACAAAAACTCGAGAGGCTGATCCAGATATAAGGTAAATTATTTGATAGTTGACAGATTAATGTAATTAATGCAAAGATACATTAATGATGCATTATGACGTTATTTTAGACTTACGCTTTTAGAAGCATTATATCAACTTTGTGCAACAAAAGTGGGTAGAGAAATATTGAGAAACAAAAATACTTACCTCATACTTAGAGAACTTCACAAATGGGAAAAGGATAAAAGATGCTTATTGGCGTGTGAAAAAGTTGTGGATATCTTGATAAAGTAAATATTTGTAAATCAAGTTCTACTTATAGTTAATTATGATTTTTTGTCTAAAATAAATTTATATCTTTTTGTTGTAGAACCGAAGAAGAAATCGGACATGACAATTTGAAAGAAATAGAAGTGCCGTCTAAGTACACGGATATGTTCGATAAAATGGATGAAGACTGTATTAACAATACATAGACAATATAAAATTTATATTATAAATGTATATAATATCTCTATAAGAATTACACATACTGTGTACATAATACTTAACAAACATAAAACTATGATAATTATAATACATTCGAATTTTGTATCTCATGTCTCAAATTGCCCCGTGAAGCGAGCGGCACACGATGCATGTTTCTTTGCTGGACTGCTTGCGTTTTAGTAAATTGCTAAAAATTCAACGTTCTGTGTGGTGTAATTTTAATTATTTATTTTAATAATTTACTAAAACGCAAGTAAACCAGCAGAAAAACATGCATCGTGTGCTGCTAGCTTAAGGGAATGCTGGAGTGGAGTCGTTTGTTTTACCGACGTAATAATTTTTGCACCAAACATCAAAAAAAGAATAAAACCGAAAGAAGTAAACGGAATATTTACTAATTTTTTAAATCTGTTCTCTATGCTTTATTATTTAATAGTACGTTTGTTAGACGATCTTTACTTTACTCGCAGTACGTGATTCGAAATCGATTTTAATTGCTAATTACTAGCGAATTGGATGCACAAATGTGCGCACTCGATGCAATAAAGTGAATAATAAAAATATCTAATACATATTTTACCAAATAACAAAATAACTATTATTATACAATTACTAGTACTATTAAGAATTTCGTGATTTAACACCTTTTTATATTTATATTAAACACATTTTTACGTCGATTTGTGTACAACAGTTTTAATATATGTACTAAGTACGCACTGGTACGTCCAACCAAATTCACTATACGTGAGATTGTTGTGGAGAATGTATTTCTTTTGTGATGAAACTCGAAGAGATTTAAAATCAATTTTTCTTTATCGAAAATGTCCATCACTTGTGTGACTGTTTTGTAGTTTTCAATTTTTTGGTACAATTAAATTTTTCACATTCTTTGTACATCGATGAACGTGAAAAAATATCCGAAACAGATAGAATAGACTAATAGAATAACAATAAGTACAATAATATATTATCTCAGCATTTTCAGGCAAACTTTTATAAAATTCTGATTAGGTTCCGAATCTGGCGAAAACAAATTTTGTTAAGTATTTGTTACAAAATTTCATTTGCAGAATGCTAGCACAAACCGAATCTTAAAAGAATCTTATTTTGTAATTATTCAATTTTAAATTTCTCTCTCTTACACGTAAACACTCAAAGAAGTCCGTTGCATTATACCCCTCGAAACGCAAACGCAGTTATGCAATACATTAAACGATTATTCTTACAAACATTTTACAATTGTAAATCCTCACAATTAATTAATTCTTATGATTTGGAAGAGACGATGATAAGCTGTTAGTGCATAGTAGAAAAGTTTGATAACTGTTTTTCCGATTTTCTCTGAAGTTTTGCTTTTTTTTCTTGGTCGAAATTACTCACTTGATCAATTATCTTGCGCATTACTTTATTAGCAATTACACGAAAGCTTGAGAATTTTAAAACGTAGCCGAATAGAAATCTGAAACAATTGAAATTATAATTCTACAGTAATATTATAATTACGTATTTTACAATACATAATTGTCTAACAAAATTATTGACAATGTTTAATATTTGGGGATCTAGAATTGCATTATAAGATAGATTAAATATATCTGCATATATGCTCACCTCCAGCATTTATAAGCAATCCATTCCGCGTAAGTCATTGACGCATACAAATGCGGCATGCTTATATTTAACGTATCCGTAGTGAGTAATGCCATCGTTTTGAAAGGCATGTAT